TCTGCAGCTAAACCCACAGAAAGGCCCTTAAACCAGCCATCAATGAGAGACTCTGGCACCAACCACCAAGTTGGAAGACATGGCTGATTTCTAATTTGTGAACAGACTGCTTATAGTATTCACATCTTATCACCTGATTATAGACGCAATTATATTAAATATTGGTAGGCTGACAAATTTACCTTTAAGGGAGAATTTACTCTGTACCACGACGTATATAATTATTCACACTTAAAAAGCCATCACACTTACAAGTACAGCATAGTCATATCTAAAGGCTTTTACAGAACTTCATACCCAGAAGCTTGAGTATCACTTTATCATACCAGTGTTTGCCTAGTTGCCATAAAATTATGCAAGGTGCCAGTGAAACTTACAGCTCTGTTATATAAATCAGACTTTGTATATTCAGATTTTATACATATGAATAATACGGAATAAAGTGCTACTTTATTTATAATAGGATATAAAAGGCATAAAGTACTAAGATTATTCTTTAAACTTGTATAAAATTCTGATCAACTATCACCGGCTTGTCTGATTTGGAGGGAGGGCAGAGGACTGAATGACCTTAGTCATCGTTTCATAGCTTTAGGAGACAAAGTCTATCAACTGAAACTCCCGGTATAAAAAAGTATGTCCAAGCCAGGCATGGCTTTGCAAGCTTATTATTCCAGCACTCAGAGGCTGAGGTAGGAGTAATTGATATTCCAGTCCAGTCTGGGTTGGGCTACATAGAGAGATTATGTCTCCAAGATCTGTGTGTGTGTGTGTGTGTGTGTGTGTGTGTGTACATGTGTGTGTTTAGTATATCCTCTCACAAACGTACACGGGCCTGAATGAAAACACCCTGGGATTTGGGCTTGGAGAATACAAACCTTTAACAGTTGGGCATCTGTGTCCTGTGCCGCTTGCTCTCTGCTAGCTAGTCATGCTATGGGGTAGAGTTTTCACCAGGTCCTCCCTGAAAACTAATCTGGTAAGAGCTGGCAAGACTAGGGGATGAGTGGCTGGTGCTGTGGTGGCGTTTTCCTGAAGCCAGCAGGAATAAGCTGCGCAACTAACATAGATAAAGAGCTCAAGAGCAGCCTGGGAGGATGGACCAGTGAGGAGAGACACACTAGTTAATGGAAGATGTGAAGAGGATGGAGAAGACACACAGGCCAACGAGAAACGGTGTGTTGACAAACTTCTTTTGTCAATAGGACCAAGAACAGAGTGGTAGTACGGAGAGGTGGCTGCTGGTTGTTAGTGTTCTAGAGGTCATAGTCACAACATTCATGTAAAGAAGGGACATTTCTGAGGGTGGAGGTAGGAACTGTGGAAAACCATCCCAAAACTTGAGTTGTTATTTAAGGAAGGAATAATGGTCTAAGTGAATTTTCATTCTAACAGTAAAAAGTTAGATGATCCCCACAGTGCCAAGGTGACATCCTTAAGCAAGGTCTCTCTATGTAGTCCTGGCTGTCCAGGAGCTCACTATGCTCTTATGCTTAATATGAAGAGAGAAAAAGATACAAAGGGTTTTACAACTTAGAAAAATTTAGATAAGATATAGACTTCATTTTCATGGATTTAAGCCAGATGGTTAAAAATAAATTTAAGCCGGGCAGTGGTGGCACATGCCTTTAATCCCGGCACTCGGGAGGCAGAGCCAGGCGGAGCTCTGTGAATTCGAGGCCAGCCTGGGCTACAGAGTGAGTTCCAGGAAAGGTGCAAAGCTACATAGAGAAATCCTGACTCAAAAAACCAAAAATAAATAAATAAATACATTTAATTAAATTTATTCTTTATGAAATATTTACTATCATACCAAGCAAGTTGACAGTTGCTTTTGAAAGGTCATAGGTTATAAGAGGTAGGTCATATAAAGTAACAGATTGTAAAGAATTTAATTTAGCAATAAGAAATTTAATCTCCAAAGATCATGAATCTTCCTGACAATGTACAGAACTCTTTGTAAAGCCTAAAGCCTGGTTTGGATATGATATCATGTTCCCAGTCATCCACTTTTCCTCAGAGAATAAAGCATACAATTGCTACCATTACAAATCATCAGTTTTAAAAAAAATCTGAAGAAAACAGGAATCATATATTATGGAGTACCCAGGGTCCAGGGGCTCAGCTAAGTCCAGCATGGGATCTGAGGGAAAAAATCTACATACACTATGTTCTTATGTCTGTTAACTTTATTCCTCTAAGACAAAATTCTGTCATTTCAGCTATAGCTCCACCAGGCATTCAGGGCAGGAACAACTCTAGACATACCAAGCTCTATATCCATCTACTTTATTTCTCTGGGATGAAATCCTGTCTCCATAACTGCAGTTCCGTCCAGCTCCCCATCTCATAGTCCTTCTAATGACTAACTCCGATGCTTTCAGCCTCATCTTTGTCCTCTGTATCCTCTTTCTCCATCTCTGCTGCTCTCTACTCCTGGCACTCAGAAAACTCTACTCCAGATCTACTTACCCTCTATGGAATCTCTGCCATCCTCTCTTCTCTCTCGCCAAGCTGTTCTGTTCTTGTCTGCAGAAAATGCCTGCCCTTTCTTTCCCTGGGCACGTGTTTCTCTGCCTCCTCAGGGATGTTGTTTTATCTCTCGCCTTGATATGTAAAAACCCCTTTTGTTTGAAGTCAAAATGCTCTGGAGAAACACTAGTACTGTGGGATGGTCTGTATGTCAAATGTGTTGCTGATTGGTCAATAAATAAATCACTGATTGGCCATTGGCTAGGCAGGAAGTATAGGCGGGACAAGGAGGAGAATAGAGCGGGGAAGTGGAAGGCTGAGAGAGAAGACATTGCCAGCCGCCATCAGGACAAGGAAGATGTAAAGTACCGGTAAGCCACAAGCCACGTGGCAAGGTATAGATTAATGGAAATGGATTAATTTAAGCTGTAAGAACAGTTAGCAAGAAGCCTGCCACGGCCATACAGTTTGTAACCAATATAAGTCTCTGTGTTTACTTGATCGGGTTTGAGCGGTTGTGGGACTGGCGGGTGAGAGAGATTTGTCCTGACTGTGGGCCAGTCAGGAAAACTCAAGCTACAAATGGCGCCCAACGTGGGGCAAGAGTTTCCACCTAAAAACTGAAAAAAAGGATTCTAAAACGGAGCTAAAAACAGTTCCTAATTGTCTCTCTCAAATGGGCGGCAGCTGCCGGTTTGAGCTACTGGTGGGTTCCTAGTGTGCGCGCTCGACCTGCCGCCATATGGCGGGAATGAGGCCTCTGCAAGTGGCACATTAAGCTACATTGTGGATTTAGCCTTTGCTAGTACAAAAAAAAAAAGAGGTTTCTGGGCTACACGCTGCTTGGATAAAAGCATAGACCCACGATGGCTCCCAGAGCTGGCGGTAAGCATACCGCCGCCATGTTGGGAAGCTGAGGTGGGCGGAGCCAGTAGCCACAGCACCAGCACCGTTTCAGGCTTAGAAGGCTGCAGCTTAAAACAATAGATTCACAATAAGACAGATTCAGATGTAATAGTTTAAAATGTATGTAAAATATACGTAGGCTTGAAAGAAAAAAAAAAGGTGATATATACAGTATAGAAACAAATACATGGTTTTAAAAAATAAAGTCTTTAAAGAGACAGTAAAAGTAATATAAAAAATAAGCCACGTAGAGATGACTATTACACAGAGAGCCTGGATTGTGTTGTCTTTGGGATTCTTAACTACAGAGAGATATTTGATTGTAAAGGAAACTGAGTTAAACCAGTATGTATATTTTAAAGATACTTTGACTTCAAAATTTGGATGTAAGGATATGTTGCTTTGGAAAAGAGTCTCTTTTGTTTCCACAGAAAGCAAGAGGCTATGGATTTGTTCCAGAGTAAGATACATCAGGTTTGACCAGCCAAGACCCCCTGAAAGGTCTCCGATGACACCATGGCCCAGATGATCCAACATCCAGAACCGTTTCAAGACAACTGGCTCAGATGATACAGCCTCACGGACTACTCCATGATCCTAAAATTTTCTTTATTTCCCCAGAAGATACAGCGCCCCCCTCCAGCAGGAAGTAGTAAGAGAAGCTACGCCCAAATTCCCAAATATACCAAGCTGACTTTGGAGATGTATAAAGGTTAAAACCTTCCTTTTTAAGAAAAGAAAAGGGGAAGTACTGTGGGATGGTCTGTATGTCAAATGTGTTGCTGATTGGTCAATAAATAAATCACTGATTGGCCATTGGCTAGGCAGGAAGTATAGGCGGGACAAGGAGGAGAATAGAGCGGGGAAGTGGAAGGCTGAGAGAGAAGACATTGCCAGCCGCCATCAGGACAAGGAAGATGTAAAGTACCGGTAAGCCACAAGCCACGTGGCAAGGTATAGATTAATGAAAATGGATTAATTTAAGCTGTAAGAACAGTTAGCAAGAAGCCTGCCACGGCCATACAGTTTGTAACCAATATAAGTCTCTGTGTTTACTTGATCGGGTTTGAGCGGTTGTGGGACTGGCGGGTGAGAGAGATTTGTCCTGACTGTGGGCCAGTCAGGAAAACTCAAGCTACACACTAGGCCTCTTCAAGGCCAGGGGATGGTCTGAGCTTCATTAGCACAGGAAACAGAGCTATGGATCTCCTGCCAGCTTGACTCCTAAACTCAGGAGGGCAGTTAGTAACTTAGTAGATTCAGCAGGTCTGGGGAGCTGAACTGTTTACCAATTGGTCTGGGCACACAAGGGTTTCATAGCAGAAGACAGCTGGAATATTAAAGGCTGGGTAACACCAAATATTCATAATAAATGGCTTGCCTTTTGACAGACCCTTGGTTGGTCAAAGTTCAGTTTTAATACACAGCTGAATCTCTATGATATATTCTTGCGGCCCACAAGAATATATGCCACAAAGAAAGGGAGAAGCCCCCAGGGCAGGATATTAAGACCACGGTAATATCAAACTACAGATGTAAAATTTACAGTAATGCACTTCCTTCTTTAGTAAAGGTTAATCATCTTAACAGTCGAATCTGAAAGACCGAAAGAAAAAGCAAGATTTCCAAAAACTACTTTATTTTGAAAAATCTTTCAGTTCTCAGTATGGAGAAGATTTAAAAAAATGATTTCATACAATCTTTTAGACTAGCTGGTGACAATCCCACAACAATTGTGATTTCAGTGGCTGTCAGGAATCTGCACGCCAAATGACAACATTGCTCAGAACTGTTTTTATACAAGTTCAGTGATCATCCAGATATCATTTTGTCAATGCTCTTTGTTAATAAATATTTTTAAACATTCAGTTGTGCTTTTCAAATGAGTGAAAATGCTAACATGAGATTCCTGGGCAAAGACACTAACCCCCCACCCCCCATAAACTTCAGTGAATGTAATTATAGGTAACATGGGATAATAATTACTTCCTAAATTGATTTCTGAAATCGTAACTTAGATTCAATTCTATTATTTTAGATAGATTTTTGCCAATAATTACCATCCACAGAATATTTAAAATTATTACTTCAGTACATACATTTTTATCATGATCTTATTTATTTTGTCCACTCCACTGTCTCTCAGGAAAATGTGAATCCAAATATAATGTGAGCTTTCTATGTTGTGTGATATTTTGTTTGTGTTTTGACAAATAAAGCTTGCCTGGAGATCAGAGGGCAGAGCCAGCCACTGGTCAACCATAGAGGTCAGGCAGTGGTGGCACACATCTTTTTTTTTTTTTGGTTTTTCGAGACAGGGTTTCTCTGTGTAGCTTTGCGCCTCTCCTGGAACTCACTTGGTAGCCCAGGCTGGCCTCGAACTCACAGAGATCCGCCTGGCTCTGCCTCCCGAGTGCTGGGATTAAAGGCGTGCGCCACCACCGCCCGGCCTTGGTGGCACACACCTTTAATCCCGGCACTTGGGAGGAAGAAGCAGGAAGATCAGGAGTTCAGGGCCACTCTGGGCTACACAAGATCGATCCAGTCTAAAGGAGAAACAGAGCATGGCAGTGGAGGTGCGTGCCTTTGATCCCAGCAGCAGGAGGTGGAGACAGGAATGTGGGGTGGGTGGAGACAGGGTCTTGGCTGCCCATTTGGTCTGAGGATTTGTAGAGGTAAGAAGTCACTGTGGCTGCTCCTCTGCGTCTCTGATCTTTCAGGTTATTACCCCGATATCTGACTCCTGGTTTCTATTGATTAGACTAATTAGGATCAGGCTTCATTTCTACAAATTAGTCATCCCAGATTTTGAGCGTTTTAATCAGGAAATGGACAGACTTCCACACAATAGAGAGTAACTGGACAAAGCCAGGAAAGCCGGATAAAGCAGCAGCAATATAACATAGCATGAAATACGGGCAAACCCGATCCTGTGCTAAATGGACATGTAAGAGGGAAGTGAAATTACTGAGCATGCCTCCCCAGCGAGAGGGCCTGAGAATTATAAAAAACTAAATAAAGTACCTAACTGTGTTTTAAAAATCTCAGTTGAGGCCGGGCAGTGGTGGCACATGCCTTTAATCCCAGCACTCTTCTGAGTCTGAGGCCAGCCTGATCTACAGAGTGATTTCCAGGACAGCCAGGGCTGCACGGATAAACCCTGTCTCAAAGACAAAAACAAAATTTCACTGGAACGTTGGCTGTCTTTCACGACCGTCCTCTGAGCTATTCCTTTCCTTACAGTCGCAGTCATCTCAGACATCAATACGCATCCCATGTTTTGAAGACATCATTTGTCTGGTCCCTGTTAAATACATAAGGAATGAGCACATATGAGGTAAGGATAATGTGGTTATTACATAAAGCCAGAAGGGCAAAGGAGAAGTTTTTCCAAATGGGCATATCCACAGGCCGTGACGAATTCCATCTCGGATATGGTGCGAAGTCCAGGAAATAAATAGCATCCACGGGAGGAAGCACCATGAGTCTCTGAGCCTGAAGAGGTGCATGGCGAGCTTCACACTCACAACCGCGATGGGGATCACCGTGGAGCAGTGGAGGAAAGGTCTTCTCGGGAGAGTCAAGGCAGCCTGAGGGGAGAGGCAGCAGCTAGCATCATTTCCTTCCCTGCAAAAATCTCACAGCTGCATCTGAATATTTTAACATGTCCAGTGTCAACTGGAAATGCAAGAAAAACAGAACACTGCAGATGCGTTGGACACACGGTTTGCAGGCCAGTGTTTCTCTTTTCACTCTCTATGGCACTCTACAATAAAAATACGTTTTTAACTTAAAAAAATATGAGATGATAAAAGCATGACCACCATATCCTTTGCACCAACAATAAAATGGAGGTCTTAGGAATATGGTATTGGGGCTGGAGAGATGGCTCGGAGGTTAAAAGCACTGGCTGCTCTTCCAAAAGTCCTGAGTTCAATTCCCAGCAACCACATAGCAGCTTATAACCATCTATAATGAGATCTGATGATCTCTTCAGGTGTGCAGGCAAACATGCAGACAGAACACTGTGTATATAATAAGTAAATAAATAAGTAAATAATTTCTTAAAAAAAGGAATATTGTATGAATTTTATAAGTTTCCCAGTATTTGCTTAAAAAGTCACAAACATAATTTATATCCTAAGTATGGGACTTGTACAATTGGGTTTAAATAACATTTAAAACTAAAAACATTTCTATTTATTTATGTGTATTTACACTTCCTTGCTGAGCCATCTCATCAGGCATATTTGAAAGCTATTTTCTTCCTGAGATTTTTTTAAAATTTCATTTATGTGTATGTGTGTGTAGGTATGTGTATAAGCATGCAGTTGACCTGGAGGCCAAAAGAGGACATTGGATGCCCTGGAGCTGGAGTTACAGGCAGTTGTGAGCTATCACAGCGGGGCTGGAAACTGAACCAGGTCCTTGGGAAGAGCAACCGGCGCTCTTGACCACTGAGCCATCCTTCCAGCCCTATTTTAAAGTTTGTAACTGCACATGTTTAAGATAATATTTGCACATGTTTAAGAAGTACAGTGTGACATTCCCTCTGTGTATATAAAGTGTGATGGTTGAATTAGAGTAAGTGGAGTGTCTACGGCTTCAACAGCTATCATTTTTGTGTGTGTTGAGAATACAATTCCTCTTCACCAGCTACTCTGACACAGATATTGGTTGTCAACTACAGTGCTAGAGACATTTGCAGCTCTTCCTCCTGTCCAACCTCACCCTGTAACTCATCTTCGCCCCATCCCTTCCTATTCTATAATTTGTGCTTTTTAAGAGCTTTGTGAGACATCTAAGAGTATATGCACAACAAATAAGATATTCCTTCATTAATGCAGGGAAAAGGGAGAATATTTTTTATTATAACTGTTTCATAACAGCCATGAATACTTCCGGAATTTACTACTAGCATTGAAAGAATACTTCAAGTTATTATTTTGTCCTTCTCTATGCTAAAGCTGAGGGAATAGGATTTTTTTTTTTTTTTTTTTCCGAGACAGGGTTTCTCTGTGTAGCTTTGCGCCTTTCCTGGAACTCACTTGGTAGCCCAGGCTGGCCTCGAACTCACAGAGATCCGCCTGGCTCTGCCTCCCGAGTGCTGGGATTAAAGGCGTGCGCCACCGCCGCCCGGCGGGAATAGGATTTTACCCTGTGTTACTTTCGCTTACAGGAAAAAAAGCTAAAATTTGTCTTGAGCCAGCAACCATTCCTCCTTCCGGCTGAGCTTCCGAGTCAGGCAACCCTGACGCACTTTGTATGTGACAAGCAGGAAGAAACGATGCTTTCCCCACCACTCGGCAAAGATCTCCTGAGCACCTACTAGGTGGGCCAGGTCACTTCCCAGGCCAGTGGCTAACAAGGCAAAATCCTTGCTTTGAACCTATACTTCTTTTCTGAAATGTTTGTAAATCACATGCATATAAAAAGCTGGGTGGTGGTGGCACTTGCCTTTAATCCCAGAACTCGGCAGGCAATACTTTGGGTATTTCCCAGGAATGAGAACAGTGATGGCACACCCAGGAGATGCACAATGACGGGAAGACATAGAGAGTACGAGGAGAAATGTAGTGTGGTCCTGAAGAAAGGTCACTGCCCCAGGAACTCCAGGAGTGACTCCTGCTCATTTGCACCAGTTTGCTAATGTATTCTCTGTGAGCCAGCACCAAACTTCTCAGCACAGTTAATAGTTCTTACTTTATGTCTATATGGGACTTTGTGACAGCAAATTTGATTAGCTACGTGTCTGTGTGCATCCTTAGGGAACTATTACTCAAAAAAGTTGAATGAATTAGCATTCCTGTTTTAAAGTAAGACATTCTCTCTAGCCTATGATGGCTAAGAAGACCGGCATGGAGGGACTAAAGACATTAAAGCCAGATAACTACATCGATGTCTTACCTTTAAAGATAGGGATCGAGCGAGAAAAAAATGGTCAATATCAATAACAGAGGCTAAAAATCCAGCTAAAAGAATTTCTCCAAAGTCAGCCTTCTTCTTGATTCCAATGACCACTGCCCATGACCACATGCCAATCACACCGTGTACTATGTTATCTGAGAGGGCACGAAGCCAATCATTTTGTTGAATTACGGAAAACCGGAGAAGTCTATCAGCTACTAGGCAAAAGATCCCCAGACCAAGGCTGGAAATGAGAGACTCTGCGCTAAAACACTGTTGTAAAGCCTGAGTCTTTTCAACTTTGGAGGCCATCGTAAACTGTGTCAGCATATAGTAAAAGCCATCAGGGGCCAGCAGTCTACTCTTGTCTTCATCCTTAGTGCCCTACAAGAGAAACCAAAAGAAAAAGATCAATGAAGTTATAGACTGCCACATAATATTTAAATGAACAACATCAGCCATAATTATAAAAACAAATTGGAGAAATTAACATTCCTTACATGGTATACAATATGCTGTATGGTCAAAAATAGTAAGTCAGTTTTACAGGAAAAAGTTTATGTGGTACCAAGGAGAATTTCAGAAAGCCCACTGAATTTTATTTATTCCTGCTAGGCATTTAAATAGCTCTGTCAGAATGTGTAAGATAATGACAGTGGGTATTCATTGTATCTGTAAACCCAACAACTGCTTCTATACTTTTGAAAAAAAAAAAAATGTCTCCTTTCCGGACTGGAGAGATGGCTGAGTGTAACAGCACTCGCTGCTCTTTCAGAGGACTTGGAACACCCACAATGGGCTACTCACAACTGCCTGTAACTCTTACTCTAGGGGATCTGATACTTTCTTCCGGCCTCTACGGATACCTGTGTGCACATGGTGCATATGCATACACTTGGCACATACATATAACAGTAAAGTAAATACCTCAATCTATTTCTAAAATACGTGTCTCTTTCCTTCAGGAAAACTGCTTGTCCCCATGGTACCTAAACTCCAGAGATGTCCAATTGGAGTTCCCTGCCTCTAATGCAGTGATAAGGGTCACCCAAACTAAGCCCACCAGCTTCCTTTTCCTAAGCAAACCTGATGTGGAATGGTCCTCTTGGAAGTCACAGGCTCCAAAGACACAAAACAGCTGAGGATAAGAAAGTCCTAGAGAAGCCTGTAATCACAGCATTCTGTGGGCAGGGACAGGGGGATCCCTGTGAGTTCTGGGCCAGCCTGGTCTACACAGAGACTTTGTCTTAAAAAAAATATCCCAAACAGACACAAAGACAAAAAGCTAATAATGAAGATATCAAATCCTTGGCTCCAGTGACCAAGGTTTTCAAAGACGCCCCAAGTTTCTACAGTTCACCCTTTTAAGAGCTTCTTTGACATCTCCCCAGCAACCGCCCCTTTTCTCTATTGCCTGGAATAATAACAACAAACCCTGAAACTTTAGCTTATAGGAAAAGGCAGGTATAATTCTGTGTGCTGAGCTCTAACTGGGACAGGCTACTGAAATAATCTGTCAGTCTGTCAAATGTTTCAGTGCTATGTCACAACTGGTTTTTAAACTTTTAATTCTATTTGTGTGGGCATTTGCCTATATTGTGAATGTGCACCACCTGCGTGTAGTACTTGCAGAGGTCAGAAGAAGGTGTGGGTTCCCTTGGGACTGGAGTCACAGATGCGTGAACTGCCATATGGGTGCTGGGAATTGAACCTGGGTCCCCTGCAAGAGCAGCAGCCAGATGTATGGAAAAGTAGACTCTATGGTTCCTCACACTGATTTCTACTCTTCTGTATGTTTGACATATTCACTTAGAAATGAATGTAGGAAAATTCCAGAAAACACAATCGAACTGATATTGAGAAAAAGCAGATCAGTGGCGCATTGGATGGAGGATGCAGGGAGGGCTGAAAATCAAAGAAAGCTCTGGGACGATTCCCATATTCAGCTCCTTGTGATAGTTTCATAGATATGTCAAAATATGCTCAATTGTGTACTTTAAGTATTTGGATTTAACTACATGCCAATTATATTCCAACAAAGATTTAAGATAAAGCTAGTGTAGTGTGCTTTATTGGTATTTAACAAGTGTGGTAGTGCATGCCTGTAATACCAGCACTTGGGAGATAGAGGCCAGGGGATCTTTGTGAGTTCAAGGCCAGCCTGATCTACATGGAAAGGTCCAGGGTAGCCATGGCTACATAGAGAGATCCTGCCTCAGTAATAAAGTTATTTGCAAAAGAATGAGAAATGGCATCTCCTTCACTTTTAAGAGTGTTACTGTGGAGTAACACAGAGTCTGAGAGAAAACAATCACAGCTGTACAGCTCCAAACACAGCTAAGTTATGGCACCTCAGCAACATTCTGAATTTTAGGAGCTCTGTCTTAAAGAGACGAACACATATTGGGAGAAAAAGGAAAAACATTTCAGCTGTGTGTTGGTGGCACATGCCTTTAATTCCAGCACTCTGGAGGCCAATGCAGGTGAATCTCTATGAGTTAGAGGCCAGCTGGTCTACAGGGTTACATAGTAAGACTCCGTCTTAAAAAAAAAAAAAAGAAGAAGAAAATAAACATCTACAGATTGGTAGCATGGCCCAGTGATAAATGTATTTGTTGTACAAACCTGGAGACCCAAGTTCCACCCCTATTTTTTTTTTTTTTTTTTTTTTTTTTTTTTGGTTTTTCGAGACAGGGTTTCTCTGTGTAGTTTTGGTGCCTGTCCTGGATCTCGCTCTGTAGACCAGGCTGGCCTGGAACTCACAGAGATTTGCCTGGCTGTGCCTCCCGAGTGCTGGGATTAAAGGCATGCGCCACCACTGCCCGGCAAAAGGGGAAATATTTTTGTTATACTGAAAATTATATTTCTGATACCACACAACATTTTATTAATGTTAACTGGTGTGTATTACAAAAGGGATTGAATCCAGGACCTCAGAAATGTTGGCAGCACTCTCCTACCAAGCTATATACCAGTCCTCAGCTGAGAAGCTAAAAACACTCACAGAGGTGTTATTTGGGATGACTTCTCTACCATAAGAACTAATCATCTAATTTTTCTGCTACTTCAAGAAGCCACTTTTTTTTTTTTTTTTTTTTTTTTTTTGGTTTTTCGAGACAGGGTTTCTCTGTGTAGCTTTGCGCCTTTCCTGGAACTCACTTGGTAGCCCAGGCTGGCCTCGAACTCACAGAGATCCGCCTGGCTCTGCCTCCCGAGTGCTGGGATTAAAGGCGTGCGCCACCACTGCCCGGCCAAGAAGCCACTTTTTTATAATGGTCTAAATTTGTTTCATTTTATCCTCCTTATAGCAAATGTCATCAACGATGGGGACTTCCCAGCAAGCAAAATGGTCATCTCCCCGTAATTTCTCACACATAAGCCGGTCTTTTAAATTATACAATATGAGGATTTTTTTTTTTTTTTTTTTTTTTTTGCTATCAATCATACATTTCTACACAAACAAGTAAGGCATTCCCAATGTAAAGGTCATTTTCTTCTTCAGTTCCTCCATCCCCCTAACCTTGGGGAGAAGCAGCACAAAACCAAGAGGTCTACAGTCCCAGCACCCGGGAGGCTGAAGCAGAAAGACTACTTGAGTTCAGGGATTCTAAGACCAACATGGAGGACACAGTGAGATCATGTCTCAAAAAAACAAACAACCAAACAAAATCATCACAACAAACAACGAAACAAAAACATGCCCTGCCTGCCCCAAACTGCCTTTATTAGGCTTTACAAATAAGTTCTCCTCACCAAACTATAGTTGCTGTAAAAGTCAACACATTTGAATTCTTAAGGGCTAAAACACCAAAAGCAGATGCCAAATCTAATGCTGGCGACTAATAAAGGAAGCAAACACAAATCTTGTTCACTTCACCGTGACTCTAAGGCCATCCCGATCTCTCTCCGCACGTAAAATATTTAGCTCTCGTAAACGACTACAAATAAAATATACAGTTATGCCTCTCAACATGTGTCTAACCTCAGCAAATTCCTGAAGTCATGCTTTTCTGAGGTCCGTGTGATCTAGTAAGTTTTTGGATGTTAAACGGGGCAGGAAGTCTTAGTACTTGGAGGATTAGCTAACTCCGGGCGCTCAGGGCTCTTCTACTCAAGTTAGGGTGACAGTGACCTCTTCTGCCCAGACGCCGGCCGGCTCCCTGCTCCGGGCTGGGAAAAGCAGCATCCCGGGATCCAGAGATGCTGAGAGCGGGAGGAGGAGGTAGGTGTGCGGCTCTGCCCTCCCAGCCCGCAGCCCCGACCCCCGACCGCCCGGGCTCCGACCCTCCCCGCCCGGCCTGCCGCAGCTCAGCCATACCCTGCTCGCTTCGCAGTCGGCGGGCGAGCCAGCGGCGCTCCGCCCCTCGGCCGCACCATAGAGACGCAGGCGCCGGCCCGAGCGGCCCGGTCCTCCGAGTCCCTGCGGACGCCGGGATGCAGGCTCCTCTCGGAGCAGCTCCTGGCGCTCGCAGGTTGATCTGGTTGGTGCCGTGAGTTCTGCAAGCCTCCAAAGCCCGGGAGAGAAGTGGAAAACGTCCCGTCGGTGTCTTGGCTGAGCGGGCGTCGAGTCACCCACCTCGGTGCACCCAAGTGACGGCGGGCGAGCCAGGACGGAGAAGTCACCTCACCTGGTGCAGGATGCGCAGTGGGTCTGGGTCTCAAAGGGACAGAAGTTTCTAACTTCCTTCAGTGGATGCCGCAGGGCTGGCGAGGCAATGATCTCAGACCTGACACACCGCAGTGCTCCGTCGCCCTCTTGGGGATTTCTCAAGTCTTTGCTAGACACTGGTGGCGGCTGAGGCTGGTCTTAGCAGGGTCATGGCAAGAACAATCATGACTACTAACCTGTTGGAAACAAAAGAGCAATACTAACCGGATTCAAATCTCCCTTCTGAAACTGTGACTATGTATACTTACTGCCTTGCCGAGGCAGGTGCTCTCTTAGCACAAGGAAACATCTGGCGTGAAACAGACCAAAGATACCAAGAGGGACATTCTTTACCTCGTCTTACTTCCTCAAAACAAGTCAGGATGGAAGACGAGGCTAGCAATATTCATGTCAGTTGGAATCTTGAATATCAAGTGAACTCCTGGGTCACCTCACATACCTTGAAAATTCGTCAACCTGAACTATTATTGGTACTGCAGTAGGATTAGGGATATGGCCCTTATGGCAGTATGGTTGGTCTATATGCCATACAGTCTAGGCTTTCTGGAAGCCTACTGGCTGAAGGCAGCCATTCATTCATACAACACATACAAACAAAAGTACTGAATACTTCTGTTGCAGTAGGCTACAGAATAGCTTCAGATTAACTACGGAGCTCATATACTGGAGGGTACTGACCACAAGGAACTACACTGGACAGATACTGATAAATACTGTTAAGGAAATAAACAGGGTGATATATTTGATTTGGGAGAAACTGACTAACTTTAGTGAGGTAGTTGGGAGGACTGCAGACAGAAACTTTTACTGAGACCAGAAAAGTGAAGGAGCCCAGAGTGGCTATAAAAGGGGATTTGTCTGCTCAACTAACTGACGTTATCGCTCCTAACCCACTCCACCCCTGTGTTCTTGTTTCCTGCCTTAAAGGTCAAGAGCCTCAGAGATTAGGAGTTAGACTCCCTGCGAGGCAGACAGATAAGGAAAGGGGCCAGGGCTGGCAAATTTCCAAGATGGCCAGCTTCTTCCTCAATCTCCTGGCAGCCTCTGTCTCCCACCAGCAGGTCCTCTGCTGATGGACTGGCTCAAGTTCAAAGCCAGATGAGGAAAAGAACAGTTAGGACCAATCTACCATTCTCTCTGTCTCCAAACTGAACAACCCTAAGTAGGGAAGGAAAACTCCCCGGGGGCTTCAACAGCCCCAGCCCTCAAGAGACTGGATTTTCAGCTGTGTGTGTGTGCCCTCTCTGCTTTGCAGAGGGTTGTTTTTTTTTTTTTTTTCCTCCTCCGAGGGTCTGCTGCATGTGTTTCCTCACCCTCGATAAATGCTGTTCTTCAATTGCTGATTCTGTCTGTGATGGAGATTGCTCTGCTGTTCCCGGTTGAGCTTCAGATTTTCCCTGTCTTTTAACAGAGAAAACAAACCTGATCCAGACCCCTAGACTGTATCAATAGGTTACAGCAGAACTGCTTAGATCAGTTTTCTTTTTTGAAATAGTTTTTTTGTTTTTTAATAGTTTTGACAGAGGTGGGAGTGATCCCTGGTTTTAAGCAGAGTCAATGGTAGAGTAGGCTCAAAATCCCCTGGATATGTTTTTTTTTTTTAAGTTATCTCATTTTTTTTGAGATAATGCATCACTTCTCCCTTCCCTTTCCTTCCTCCACGCCCTCTCCTATGTACCTCCTTGCTCTCTTTCAAATTCCTGGGAAGCCTAAGGGGCCTCAACCCTACATAAAGAATTACAGGCAACTAAGGAACGCGGAGACCAGGGGAACTACGTCTTCCCTGGGGAAGAGCACTCCATTGGTTACCCAGACCCACGTCAGCCCTGAAAGCACACATACAAGTACAGACGGAGCAGGCTGTATTTATCTAGGGATACATGAGTATATAAATATCCATACATTTATGTAACAACAGTCCATGGGGTGGGCCCTCCAGACAGCTGAATGCCTGCTTCCTCAGCGCCGCTGTAACAGCTAGGGGGAATGGGGCCACCAGCTTAACTGAGAACTCTTTCGGGTGGGGCAGCAGGCTCTCCCTTAATTGAGCCTTACCTTCTTACTCCATTTCAGTACACACCCAGCCAATCAGAGCCCCTTCTGAGCCCCATGACCTCCCCCAGCATCCGCCTTTTGCTGGCCATTGCCCACTCTGCCAACGTGCTCCTGTTCTTCCTCAGCAGGCTTGCCCTCAGCCCTCGTGTGCTCTTGCATGGCAGCCTGTGGCTGCTGAGAGGTTTCCCTATCAGATCTTAGCTGCCACTCTCCTTGGAATAAAATCTTTGTTTCTCTTACCTTTCACTGTCTGTGGTGAGACAAGAACTGGGATGAGAAAGAAGAAAATCTGCTATGTTAGTTCTCCAGGAGAGATTAAATAGCAAATGACCAAATGTACAATTCTGCACATTAAAAAAGACAACTGAAAATTAACATTACAATATTGAAAATGGCGAAACATACAACTTTTCTTATACAGCCGATGTAAAAAATGAAATAGTTCAAAACCTCAAAATAGTTCTTTATTTTAAAAATGTATATATACCGATATACATACAGACACACACACTAAAATGTACAAGTTAGGTAAAATACAATCAGTTCTGCACATTCTGCAGAAGTAACATTCACAGCTCCTTGGGTTACTAGCGATTCCATACTAGGAATTTGAGACATCCTTAAGTTTTAGTGTTGTAGTAACTCCATTTTTCACTTTCTAGAGTTTGACAAGATATAGTCAATATCCTGAAGGATTTCAGAAGTTCTTTTCAGTGCTACCGATACACTCTCTTTATTAGTTGCTTCCAGCAAGGTTTCTGAAGAGCCTAGGGCACAGTCATCAGAACACTGATCGTTTTTCTTGTTAGAAGTCAAGTGGAGGACACCACTGTTTTCCAGGAGCCCTGAATTACTTAGTTAAGGAGCTTTCCCCCACATTTGTCATTATATAATCTGATTTTCAGAAAACCCGGCTTCGGCAAGAAAATATTTCTCAGTTAAAACTATCTACTGAATTCACGATCGCATTGGGACTTCAGATTTTATGGAGTCCACCCTGTACAGATGAGGAAACCAGTCACAGTGTACGGAAGTGGGGAATTATGTGTGTTTGGATGGAGGTTTAGTAGGAGAGAAAAGAAAATCTCAGTAACACTTATTAACCTACATTTGTTAAGAGAATAAAAAGGGAAAGAGTAGGATGATAGGATTATAAACAATGTATTGCATTTTTTTAATTAACAAAAATCTAGAGTAAAAGGAAATTTGCTTTCTCTTACAAAACTAGTTTATTATTTGAGTAAGACAGTATAACTATTTCCTCCCAATTGAAACAGCTCCTCCTGGGGGGAGGAGGAAGCTCACAGGACTCAGATGTAGATAAAATATACACTGCCCTGGAACTGTATGAATCTTACAAGGCTCAAAAAGCTCCCAAAAGTTACAAAATTCACAAGGTCCCTACAAGGATGTCTACACAGGAACAGCTGTTGGGGAGAGGTGACTGTGACTAGGTGAACAACATGTAAGTTGTGCAGGGAACTCCAGGGATGCAGTTTTCCTAAGTGGCTAGTCATCCTGGGCTTTCAGGGGGAAGCTCCCTTTGAGCAAGCAGGCTTCTGTAAAGACCCCCACAACCACACTCCTGTAAGGAATCCGAGTAAACTCACTAGTTCACTATGCTGGACTTGGGCAAAGTTGTCTCTCTGGTCTGTTGTTGGTCATCTATATGGGGTGAATAAATGTTGGATCATATCTTCCCAGGAAAAGTTGCACAACAGCAAGATTACAGAAAAATGAAGAGAAAACAGATTCAGATGAATCAAAGGGTTCATAATGAAAGTTACAGACACATTTTTAACAGTTATAATTTAGATAATTATATAAGAGAAAGTGTCTCCAAAAGAGATCTTAATCCTAGTTCATCATTCTTTACCCAATTCAAACAAAAAAGTACAAACAATAACATAATATTCCATGACAAGAAAATATCTCAGATATCGATGACTGAGCAAAACTAAGTGCCATGTATGTATGGATTAACAGTCCTACAGTAAAGTACGTACATCATATTAGGCCCAGACTGAAATGGAATACTTCCATAGGATAATACACTCTCTTAAAAGGATACAGTTAAATTTCTGTATTTTCTCAAGCTCAGAAGCAACAGACCTATGAAAGGGAAAGGGTGACACTGGAACATGAGCTCTTACCACATATGACAGGGGACAGGAGGACAACAGGTATGAGGTGACTACAGAACTCTAGCAGAGCCCCTCATGTGGATGGTCTACCGTATTTCCCCACCAAGTCAGAATACTATACAAATACTACAACTACTACCTCTGAGAAATTAATGAGGACACTGTCTAAAAACAATTCAAGTTACTAAGAAGTTGAATCAATCAGCTAATGATGGCAAGGTAGAAAAAATACTGAAATACAATTTAGAGAGCTGTTTACTGTGTGATTTCTTTCTTCAAACTACACTCTTTGACAAGACAGAGGAGGGGGGGGGCGTCTTGGGGGTCAGAGCTGGTCCTCACTGCTGTCACCCACAGCTGCTGGCACCGGCTGCACTTTCACTTTTGTTTCTTTGTATGTTTCCCTTGGCTGGCCTGGCACTCACTCTGTAGACCAGGCTGGCCTCAAACTCACAGAGATCTGCCGGGCTCGGCCTCCAAGTGCTGGGATTAAAGGTGTGCACCACCACTCATAACTACACCTGACTTCATTTCTTTCTTGCTTTTTTCTTTTTAGACAGGGTTTCTTTGTGTAGCTCTGGCTGTCCTGGAACTTGCTCTGTAGACCAGGCTAGCCTCGAACTCACAGACATCCATTTGCCTCTGCCTCCTGAGTGCTGGGATTAAAGGCATGCACCACCACTACCTGGCTTCCAGCTTCATTTCTTAGTATGTCAACAGTAACCCTCTTTGAGTTTTTATGTAAACAAGGCATTTAATAAAAACAAAACCAGTTATTACTTGAGCAGTGGTTAGTGATCAGTTTTATAATCATACGCCATTTCCCTTCTCCTCAGCTGCTTTAAGCAACTTTCCTGCTCTAAAAGAGGCTAGAGTTGAAGGATGAGGCATCTACAAAGTCAGATCCTGAGATGTTCAGCATATTAAAATCACAGTCACTGTTTTCATTTGATTTATTCTAACAAGTATTCACTGAGGCAAAGGATATAAATCAGGCTCTGTGTGTGTGTGTGTGTGTGTGTGTGTGTGCACATTATCCTGTGTGTGTGTATGCACATTATCCTGCTACATTATGCTAAGTCACTTTAAACTTCCTTTTAAAAAGGTCATATATGAGGCTGTGCTATAGCTCAGCAGTAGAGTATTTCCCTAATATACACAATGCCCTGGATCTGATCCCAGAGCAGGGTTATCAAAGAAGGTTCCCGGGGTTGCAGAGATGGCTCACAACCACCTGAACTCCCACTCTTGGACAGCCTGTGCCTCTGGCTTCCTCAGGCTGACTTGCACTCGTGCATGTACACACATACACATAACTAAAAATAAAAATAAATCTAAAACAAATACGTTCCTAAGTTCTTCTTGGTGTCCTTTTCCAGTACACTGAGGCTTTACTCAGTGACATTAAGTGTAACAGTGACCTTCCAATTATTTTCACATTTATGAGCTTGTGTTTTTACCCATGTGAACTTCCTTATTTATTATAAGAGCCATCTCAATTCACCAAAACTTATAATATATCCTATCAAGTACTATCTGCTCCTCAAAACTGTCTTCTCAATGTCTCCACAGGTCAAAGATCCTTTTCTGAATTTTATTTGATGTGTATGTGGGTTTTGCCTGCATGTAAATCTGTGCACCATGTGTGTGCCTGGTGCCCACGGAGGCCAGAAAAGGATGTCAGATCCCCTGAAACTGGAGTTAAGGAAGGCTGTGAACTGCCATGAGTGTGCTGGGAATGGAACCTGTGTCCTTTGAAAGAGCAGCCAGTTGCTCTCAGTTGCTGAGTTCTGTCTCTGCTCAGTCTGACGTCCCCCGGAACGCTCCTGTGGAGCCCTGGCCTAGTCTCCTGAGGAACTAAATTACCTGCTTTACTTTCTAATATGCTAATTAATTTCAGACAAGAATTAAATACAACAGAAATGATTTAAAAGTCAGTTTTAAAAAAAAGCTTATGTTACTCAGTATATTTCCTTTAATACTAAAATTTCCACAACCTTTTTATCATACATAAAGAACCACTCATTTTGATATAAATTTCCAATGTAATTTTCTGTATATCAGATTAAAAAAAAGTATTTTTTTTTTTAAGAAGGAAGTTCTTTTCAAGCTTATACTATGAAAAACATTTTAAGAGTTGAATATGGGCTGGAGAGATGGCTCAGAGGTTAAGAGCACTGACTGCTCTTCCAGAGGTCCTGAGTTCAATTCCCAGCAACCACATGGTGGCTCACAGCCACCTAATGAGATCTGGCTCCCTCTTCTGGTCATACATGCTGTATACATAATAAATAAATAAATCTTTAAAAAAAAAAAAGAGTTGAATATGCTTAAAACAAAAGGTTTTTGTGGGCAAAAAGCTTCAAAGTTTTCCATTTGCTACTTAAAAATATTGTGTTTTTTATTCACTGTGTGTGTATAGATAGTCAGAGGTCAATTCTGGCTTGACATGGGATTCTGAGGACTGAACTTAGGTCATCAGGCTAAGCAGTAAGCCTTTACCCACTGAGCCACCTCGAGAGCCCTTGTGTCTTAGTCACTGTCCTACTGCTGTGAAGAGGCACCATGACCAAGGCAACTCTTAAAAAGAAAGCATTTAATTGGGGCTTGCTCACTGTTCCAGAGGCTTAGTCCACTGTCATCATGCCAGGGAGCATGGCAGCAGGCATGGCACTGGAGCAGTAGCTGAGAGGTACATCCTGATCCATAGACAGAGAGAGAGAAAGCCCATCCCCCAGTGACATACTTCCTCCAACAAGGCCACACCTCCTAATCCTCATAATCCTTTCAAACAGTGCCATTCCCTGGTGACTATGTATTCAAATATACAAACCTATGGGGGCCATTCTTATTCAAACTATCACGCCTTGATACTAGTTTTTAAGTATTAATTGGCTCTTGTTCACAGATTAAGTTTACAAGAAATATAAATACCAATTTTCTTTGAGAACAGGTGACAGATGTTCAGGCACCTGACTTGGACTCGCCTGGGTCAGTCTTCTGCACCATGATGTTACTGATGTCACGTATCTGAAAAGAATACATTAAAAATATTTGATAGGGAAACCCATTAATTTGTATAATTTGTGCAATAAAAAATGAATTAAAGTAAAAAAAACCCACTTTGATTCTAACCAACTCTGCAGCTAACTTCTGATCCTATGACACGTGCTGAATGACAGGCTGTACCACCACACCTTGTTTAAGTTCTTTATTGATTTCTCCCCCTTGTGTGCTGGGGACGGAACTCAGGTCCTTGTCTATGCTGAGGAAATCTATACTACCTAGCTATACTCCCAGCCTGAATTTGTATATTTGCAATAAATACATAAGACATGAAAAAAATCAGTAAGACAGTTTGGAAAAAAAAAGGATAAAGAAAAATTTTAAGTGAGGCAGTAAGATTTTCTAAATCCTATACACACTAGACACAGATGGGATAACCTTTTTAAATTATTCATAAAAAATAAAATAATTTTATTTATATTCACATTATAAAGAAAACACCTGCTGGGTGGTGGTGGTGCACATCTTTAATCCCAGCACTCGGAAGGCAGAGGCAGGTGGATCTCTGTGAGTTCGAGACCAGCCTGGTCTACAGAGTGAGTTCCAGGACAGGTTCCAAAGCTACACAGAGAAACCTCGTCTGAAAAAAAAAAAAAAGCCGGGCGGTGGTGGCGCACGCCTTTAATCCCAGCACTCGGGAGGCAGAGCCAGGCGGATCTCTGTGAGTTCGATGCCAGCCTGGTCTCCAAAGCGAGTTCCAGGAAAGGCGCAAAGCTACACAGAGAAACCCTGTCTCGAAAAAAAACCAAAAAAAAAAAAAAAAAAAAAAAAAAAAAAGAAAGAAACATCTAAATCAAAATAAGAAAGAAAAAAAATACACTTCATTTAAAGCTCAAATTTAAATGTGTAACTCTTCGTTTTAGTTTTTCAAAGTAAAGTGAAATTCCTTAAGCTTGTCATATATCTTTACATAGTCTATGTAAGAAGCATTTGCCTACTAAAATTTAAACCTGGAAATGCCCACTGGAGCATACACATGCATAAAGAAATAAATTTATATACATGCATATGATGAAATGCAACTTAATATGTATGCTGTGAATGTGTTGCTCTGATTTGGTTGATAAATAAAACACTAATCGGCCAGTAGCCAGGCAGAAAGTATAGTATAGGCGGGATAAGCAGAGAGGAGAATGCTGGGAAGAGGAAGGCTGAGTCAGGATTCACCAGCCAGACACAGAGGAAGAAAGATGCAAAGGCACAACTGAGAAAAGGTACCAAGCCACGTGGCTAAACATAAATAAGAATTATGGGTTAATTCAAGTGTAAGAGCTAGTCAGTAATAAGCCTGGGCTAATGGTCATACAGCTTGTAAATAATATAAGCCTCTATGGTGATATTTTATTTGTATTAAAATGTTATTTGTATGTTAATAAATAAAGTTGCCCAGGGGTCAGAGCTATTAGCAAGCCATAGGAAAGCAGGGCAGTGGTAGCGTACGCTTGTAATTCCAGCACTTGGTAGGCAGAGCTGGGTACGTCTCTGTGTGTTCAGGGATACAGTCAGTATTGGATACACATGCCTTTAATCAATACCAATCATGGAAAACCTGGAGGCCTATACAGACAGGCCGTGACGAGGCGGTCATGTGGTTGGGTTTACAACCAATGAGAAGGCAGAACAGGAACTCTATATAAAGACTTTAACACAGGGGTAGCTCTGGTTCGGAGAGGTAGGACCACTGCAGGAGGAAGGGTAAGGTTTTAGCTCTTAGCTCTGACCTCTTATTTTTCTTCTTTGCATTGGTTCTGTGTTTCTTATTGAATAAGAAGGTTGGTTACATCTACAAGCCTCTGTGTGTTTACTTGGGTCTGAGCAGGTGCGGGGGCCGTGGTAGCCAAGCAGGCACAGGAAAACTTCAGTTACAGAAGTGATGGGATAGAACATATCATTTGCCAAAGGTACTATCTTTTTGAGAGAAAATGTTTAAAATAGCAATTGAATGTTGGAGCATTTAGACCAAAACAAGACCACCCAACAGAAAAATAAATTCAAGATGTTAAGTAAGCAGTTTTGTGGGCACTGACAGGCAAAGCCGCTGTCAGAACTACCACATGTAGAGCCACTACAGCTGACCGTGAACTACATTAACAGAAAGGTGATATTCCTAAAAACTAAGTTCAAGCATCCTCCCATTTACAAATATCCATCAGCTGGTTTTAATGCCTTTTACACTTCCCAGAAATACATACAATTTTCATCATTTACAGTCATTTGTAAACTACCTTTCTTTCCACTTCATTAAGGGGTTAGAAAAGCTGGCTAACACAACTGACTATACTCTTCACAGCAAGTCAGACATGTTGGAAACCTATTATTTTGAAAAATCAGTTGGATGCAAACAAATGTTTAAAGCTGACTTGATATATTTCATTGTGTTAAATTTCAGTGTGACTGAGAACTCTGAAATCTGGAAAAACTACATGTAAAATACATGTAACATACATGTAACATAAAATACATAAAAATACATGTAACATTTAAGTTATAGTTACACTCTATTAGTTAAAACATGAAAATAAAATTGCTTTTCCGTACCTTTCATATGTTCCAGGATGCTCAGTTTGAATGAACTGATCCTGTCCATCAGGAAAAGTTAATCTGCACCAACCCAAGTTGAGACCTTGATTTATCTTAAGAAGCAAAAAGAAGAGGCAAGTTTTATCATTCTAAAACTAAAAACTAAAACTTAGCAACGTCTTTAGAAAAAAAAATAAAGGAGTGGATGAATCATTATAAATTTATCTTGAGAATTGAAAGACTGCATTTTAAGGGTTGTGGGTATAAGTCATCACCCACACAGATGACTATCAGAGAATACAAATGCCAATCCTTGCTGCACTGTGCTTCTTTAGATACATAATGTGACTATGTTATACGTCTCTGATTGCTGCTAGGAAATTCACTGAGATCAATAAAGCCTCTTGACAGATTTTATATTTAAAAAGTTTGGTCTCTAGCACCCAAATGATGGCTCACAATTGCCCATGACTCCAATTCCAGGGACTCAGATGCCCTCTTTTGATCCCAAGAGCTCCTGCATGCACACGGTGTACATAAACTTATATAGGTACACATACATACACATAAAAAAACCAACAACACAATAATTGGAGATAAAGTAGTACTGCTTTCTGTAGATAAGTAACCAATCAGGATATATTTCACTGTAGACATCAGACTATAGTTAAGGATAATGTATTATGTATTTGAAAAAAAAAAAAAACCCTAGAAGATAGGATCTTGAATCACAAAGAAATGATAAATATTTGAGGAGATAATGTTTGTCCTGACAGTAATAATCTATAATACACACAAGCATCTAAGATCAGAATGGTATCTCGTATGTGACAATCACAAGCGCTGTAACAGAGTTTACTGAGCATAACGAGAGGATTTCAGTGTTACGCAGCAGTTCTCAGCCTGTGGGTTACAACCCCCACAGGTGTCCCGTATCAGATCTCCTTCATTTCAAACAACAGCAGCAAAACTACAGTTAGGAAGCAGCAATAGAAGTATTTTAGGGCTGGGGGGCCAGCACAGCATGAGGAACTGTATTAAAGGAGCCTTAGGAAGCTTGAGAACCAGTCTTAGGTATACTCACTGGTCTTTTTTCAGCAGAGGAGCTGAAATTCCAATTCAGCGTTAGAGTGACGCCATCTAAAAAGACAGCGTGAACTTTGTCATCAGAGTAGGCAAGAAATCTCCCCACACTGGGTATGAGTGATTCTTTCAGAAGCATGGGCAGGGTATTGTTAACATTTATTCCAGGTACCTAAAACCAAGTAAATAAGATAGCACAAGGCACAGTTTTCTGTGAAAAAGATTAAATAATTAAATAATTATTAATGAACCCTGAAGCAACTCAAGATTCTTCCTCAGAAGTTGAGTGCTACAGAACTCTTATCCATATTTTAACTTTTCAAGAGTTACACACCCGAAATTGTCTACCTAATAAGAAGATTGACTTCTAATATCTCTGTAAGCTACCATCCTGCTATGAACTTTACACAGGCAAAACCTGTGGATTATAACAGCATATACGTTTACAAAATAAAAACGGGCTAGTATAGCTTTGTGATAAGAGTGTGTGACTGGCATGCTCTGAGCCCAGGTTTGAATCCCAACATGATGGGGATGAGGGATTACATACAATAAATCCTTTTCTCCCCAAGCTGCTTTTGGTTATGGTGTTTCACCACAGCAACAGAAACTCTAAGTTAGACAGGGTTTCTCTGTGTAGCCCTGGCTGTTCTGGAACTCATTCTGTAGATGAGGTAGAGATCTGCCTGCTTCTGCCTCCCAAGATAGGATTGAAGGTATGTACCACCACACCTGGCTCAAGGTAGGTATTCTCTTGAATGAACAAATTTGAATGCTACAAAGAATCTCTCACACGACTTAGATGAAAGCAGTTTGAATGTACAAGTATGAATCCAAACAACTAACAGTCCTGCTTTCAGCATACCATTTTCCAGCAGCAGACGTGATAGTTGTGGCTTAGTGAAAGCCTTGTCTTGGCACAATGTTGAAGAATTCTGTGAACATGAAAAACATTCCCTAAATGTTTGCAAATAATGGCATTTTCTCTATTTTCAAACCCCTGCTCTGTGGGAGGCCAGCTCCCATCTTTTCAAGGGTTCTTATTAAAGCAACCCTAGGGATGCTACACTTGTCTGGAAAAACAGCACTTCAGCACCTCTCTGGACCGACTCACTCCCTGTATGCAAGTTTATTCAGACTTAAACTTCAAAGCCAGAAACATTCTTGTAATAACATGGATTACTTTTTAAATTATGAGACCAGAAGTGTGGTGGTATTGTGTTCCCCAAAATATTGTGCACCCTAATAAACTTATCTGGGGTCAGAGACAGAACAGCCACTAGATACAAAGGCTAGAAAATGGTGGCACTCACACCTTTAATCCTAGCATTCCAGAGACAGAAATCCCTCTGGATCTCTGTGAGTTCAAGGCCACATTAGAAACAGCCAGGCATGGTGACTCACGCCTTTGATCCCAGAAAGCAAGCCTTTAATTCCGGGGAGTGATGGCAAAAACAGAAAGATATATAAGGCGTGAAGACCAGAAACTAGAAGCATTTGGCTGGTTAAGCATTTGGCTGGTTAAGCTTGTAGGTTTTGAGCAGCACAGTTCAGCTGAGAGCCATTGGGATATGAGGACACAGAGGCTTTCAGTCTGAGGAAACAAGATCACCTGAGAAGTTGGCCAGGTGAGGTAAGCTGTGGCTTGTTCTGTCTCTCTGATCTTCCAGTTCACCCCAATAACTGACCTCAGGTTTGATTTTATTAATAAGACCTTCTAAGATTCCTGCTATACCAGAAGACTTGACAGATTTGTAGCAAAGACACATATTTCCATTGTACCCACTGAATTCTAACCTTAACCAGGAGAAACACATCAAGGTACTCAGATGCATATTTTTCTGCTCAGTTGAACATCACGGACTCACCTGGCTGCCTGTTTTATCAAAGAACGTACAGAGAAGAGACTTCCTGGTCTGTCTGGAGGAAGGTTATTTATGGAATAAGTTTTCTCTTCTCTCTGAAAGTGTAAAACAACAACAACAACAAAAATCTCAATAATAAATCTGGTCCTTATTACTTCATACTATTACTTAATAAAAAACTATTTTTTCCTTGAAGTACTTATATAATACCAACAAAGCAAGCAAATGTTTTAATACTCTAAGCCCATAAAATCTACATATTTTAATGGTATTTTTAGGATGCCTTTCTGGTGGAGGGTAGGGGAGGTGCATGCTACTGTGTCCACCTTTTATGTGGGTCCTGGGGATCTCAACTCAGGTCCTCATGTTTATGTGGCAAACATTTTACCCCCAGAACCATCTACCTAGCCCCCAATAGATGCTTTTTACTTTGTAAATATTAATTAAAAGTGGTAGGATGACTCAAAAGTAATGCTCTGGGCTTAGCATTTTCTAGTGACAAATTCTATAACAGAAGAGATTTAGCCTCTGATTTAAACAAACTGTTTAGGGTGTTAATGGATAACGGTGGGAGTGACTACTGTAAAATAAAGTGATTGATAATTCACCAGGTGTCAATGCTGACAGTAAGATTATATTAATTTTCCATAGTGAGGGGTGGAAAGTAATGTTACATAAAACAGCAAATTTCTCATATATATATTATGACTTTAGAAATAACTTTTTATAAAAACTTTTGAATTTTCATAGTTAGCTTACCTTTTCTGATTCTCCTTGACTTGGATAATATGTAAAATAGTTACCAAAATAAGCTCCTTTGGACTTGAAAACTGATCCATCTCCAGGATAAATCTCTATCAAGTTTTCATTCTTATGGGTAAGCCTAAAGTAGAGAAAATGATTATTTTTTTTAATTAAGACTAATACATCCATGAAAGCAATCATTAAGACAACAACAAAACCCCAAACAACAAACAAAAACAGAGACGAGGGTAATTCTGAACCGAAGAGAAACAGAACACACAAAAGTGCCTTATATGTTTATTTCAACAGCTAAGCTCAGAGCTTCCAGAATTCAGAGAATCCTGTCTTCACATCCCCAGTGCCAACCATAGAAATGATACATAGTCACCAAAGCATTGTCTATGCATAGAAGTTGAATACCACACTTCTAGGTTCTGAAAATAAGCTCATTCAACAAATATAATTGGTATAATCAGTACCTGATGGATAAGATTAATTATCTGTGTAAAACGTATTACACATGTAGCAGCCAGATATAATCAAAGTATCCAGTATATACTGCACGAAAATTACTTTTATTGGAAGAGATATATCTTTTATCTATGTTGTCAGGGACCATCAAGATGGCTCAGCAGGTAAAGGCACTTGCTGCCAAGCCTGATGCCCTGAGTTCAATCCCTGGACCCACATGGTGGAAGAGAACTGACCCCGGCAGGTTGTCCTCTGACCTCTACATGCATGCTATAGCACACACCTGTGCCATCCCCAGTAAAAAATAAATGCAATTTAAAGTTAATGCTGTCAGAAGCGGATGGGTCTTCATACAGAAAAGGGGAAGCATCAGGTATGCTTTTCTACTATTTTTCATGGATGTGAAGCTGCAGCTGGCCACACTGTACTCCAGTCACTAGACAGTAACTCTGTGGTGCGGAAGGGAAAATTCAGTGGAGCAGTGTACACACAGAGCCCCGAAGGAATCATTTCCTTTGACTGAATCGCCCTTAGCCTGATTCCATGCTCACTAGGTAACACAACTAGACCTTCTTATGTCCAGGAGATCCTAAGCCCCTGCTATAAACATCCATTCACCAGCAAGACTGACTCTCAGTGGTATCGGAGCTGCCATGTAAGTCTTGTAAACATGGTTAATTTGAGTCATAAGGCCTCTATGCATACTAATAAAATTAGTTTTGTGACCTATAAAGACAAAATACAAGAGCCCAGCTGACCCAACAAAACTGTGTCTTTTTATAAGAACTGGTCTGCAAGAACAGTCTCATTCCCACTTTGAGTTAAGAAACAAATAAAACTCTCAGTGCAATGCAGGAGCCTTACCTGTATGTCATACCATTGTACCACACCACAGGAGCCTTACCTGTATGTCATACCACTGTACCACACCACAGGAGCGTTACCTGCATGTCATACCCTTATAGTACACCACAGGAGCCTTACCTGCATGTCATACCACTGTACCACACCACAGGAGCCTTACCTGTATGTCATACCACTGTACCACACCACAGGAGCCTTACCTGCATGTCATACCCTTATACCACACCACAGGAGCCTTACCTGTATGTCATACCCTTGTACCACACCACCTTCACAAGCTCAGGATAGGAATACTCTTCATCAGACTGTCTCTGTAAAAGTGAATCACAGAAGTTCCACCTGTGAAGGATAAAATATGAGTATTAATTCTGGTTGTTCAAAATAATTGACATTAAAACTCAACAAAACAGTGCCACCATAATGCTTACTCCTTGTCAAACTAACTATATTATGTGTGTGTGTGTGTGTGTGTGTGTGTGTGTGTGTGTGTGTATAAATGTGCACTAGAGAAATTTAAAAGCAAGTCTTGTATTGCCATATATCTTCTCAGTAATTCTCAGTAACTTCAATAATGATCTCAGTATGACATACATTTAAATTTTTGCTAATCTTTAAAATGTAACCTGAACTCAAACAACAGATCTTTACTGAAATATCTACAGTAGGCCAGGCATCATGCTCTACACACTGAGAATTTAATGTTTCTGTTCCCAGTGGACACTTCCCAACTGGCAGTGTAGTAAAACAGTAATCACCAAGTCTAAATAGAGGGAGGCAGTGAGTGCCCTGGCGTGAATAAGGACTAACTTATCAACAGACTTTGAGAAGCCACTCCAAGGAACCTTGTAAGGCTCAAGTTGAGACAAGGAAAAGCGGTGGGGGTGAGGAGGGCGATGCTCCTGCTGCAGCAGAGAGCGAGAGCAGGGGCTGTAGGGAAGAGAGCCTGAGGGAGCACTAAGTAACTGTGAGGAGTCCCGCGACGGCAGAGTGAGGACTCCAGAGACAGAGGCACCAGATCACGGAAAACCTGCTAAGCCATGCTAAGGAAATGGATTTCAACCTAAATCCAGTCAAAGAAACACTTCATTTAGAAGCATAAAACCTCTCCTGTCACATACTTAGAATTCTGAATTTCCAGTTTTAACTAGATAATTATGGCAAGCCAAAAAGCTATTCCTAGATTTTGTTTTAAGTAAAAATGTGTACTCAGAGAAGACCTCGGATGAAATTTCAATTCTACAAGTGTTACCGATGTAACTTGCTGAGTTCTTTATCATTTCTGGATCTTAAGTTCCTCTACAAAAGGATCACAGTAATTTTTGTAATGGGGTTACTACACCAAATGAATAAAAAGAACAATGCCTCACTAAGTACTTTATAAATGTTTGCTTACAAAAAAAGATAAATTTACTGTAATACTATACAAAGTTCACTTTGAGAATTTTAACTATTATTCATCCTTGAATTAAAGTTAAGTTCTTGACCTAGCCATAGAGAGTTCTCCATATACTGAACCCTTTTGAAAAAGGACATACTTGGGCTGGAGAGATGGATGGCTCAGATGTTAAGAGCACTGACTGCTCTTCCAGAGGTCCTGAGTTCAATTCCCAGCACCCATATGCAAAAATGGGATCCAACACCATGGCAAAAATACCAATGCACATTAAAATAAATAAATTTTAAAAAAAGGAAACTTAAAAAAAAAGAAAGAAAGAAAGAAAAAGGAACATACTTAAAGTCAGTTAACTAAAAAACAGGTAAATTGCCGGGCGGTGGTGGCGCACGCCTTTAATCCCAGCACTCAGGAGGCAGAGCCAAGCAGATCTCTGTGAGTTTGAGACCAGCCTGGTCTACAACAGAGCAAGATCCAGGAAAGGCACAAAGCTACACAGAGAAACTCTGTCTCGAAAAACCAAAAAACAAAACAAAACAAACAAAAAAACAGGTAAATTTTGGGGTTAATAGCAAAGAAAGAAGCCATAATCAAAACTCTGTCAGGTCCATGGTCTAACCTGCAGGGTCATGAGCAGGTCCGTGGCCATGTCTGTGGGGTCATGGACAGATCCATGGTCTAGCCTGTGGGGTGAGGGGCAGGTCCATGGTCTAGCCTGTGGGGTGATGGGCTCAAGTGACCAGCCATAGACTCTCCTCTAGGCTTTCTCCCAAAGAGCCCCGAGCAGGCTACTGCTCTTCTGTATAACAATCCTTTAAGGGACAGTTACCTTCATTAGGCACCCTACATTACCATGAATACTATCCTTTAAAATCAAAGATTTTAGTCAACCAAATGAGATTAAGAATAGTAAGAGATGTGGCTGGGTGTGGTGGCTCGTGCCTTTAATCCCAGCACTTTTGGGAGGCAGAGGAGAAGGGTTTCTATGAGTTAGAGGCCTACCTAGAGTTCTAAGGCCAGCCAAGGTGACATAGTGAGAACTTGTCTCAAAAAACCAAAACCAAAACCAACCAACCAACCAACCAGAATAGTATCAGATGGTCGAGAAAGTTCTGCTTAGGTAAGGATGGGTTCTCCCCAAATCTTTCTGAGCAACAAGCCATTCTTACTTTACCTGTGCATGTGTGGGGCAGGGCAGCTGAGTAACAAGGCCCTGGGAAGGACAGAAACCTCTTCTCTGCTTTCTTCTGGAGTGTCAGAGGTTACAATTCCACTTGCAGGGAAACCTGCATCAATTTTAGACACAACACTAACTTTGTTATAAAAACCAAGCGCTAAAGACAAAGGGTATTTCCACGGCTCTGGACAGGAGGTGACAGACCAGCACTGCTTCACCCAGGCGTAGACACATCTGTGCCTCGTGCTTGAGGAAGGCAGCTCCTCCCTCCCCTCGGTTCCATCGACACAACACAGGTTCGCTGAGGCTTTAGATTTCAAGATCTGGCCATGAAGTTCGTTTTCTTTATTCTGTAATCCTTGTCCTGATAAACTTCCATGGGTGCAGATTTTGCAAGTCTTTCCAGCTCGTTTATCTTTCAGGACCTGATTACTTGTTTCAGAGAGTGTTACAGGCAAGTCTGGCTTCTGGCTCACTTTACACAAAAAATGCACTGTAAATTCATGCTGAGATCTGGGTAGGCACAAGTATGCGTGTCCATCTAGTGATGTTATCTTCACTGCGCCACTCTCCAAATATGTGATGCTGTCATCTCTATCAAGACTGGGCCATTTTACTTCTGAGAAATCAATGAAGATATGCTGAATTGAAAGAGAAAAAAAAAACCCATGATTTTTTCTGTTAATGTTCATTTTTCCATAGTTTTGATATTAAAAGTATTTTATAAGAAAGAGGTTTTACTACCTAGAAAATAAAAACTGGAGTTAAACACACACACACACATATATACATACATGTGTGTGTGTGTGTGTGTGTGTGTGTGTGTGAGAGAGAGAGAGAGAGAGAGAGAGAGAGAGAGAGAGAGAGAAGGAGGAGGAGGAGGGGGAGGAGGAGGAAGAAAAGGAAAGATTAGTGGTAAAGTTACTTTGATTTAAAATATTCAATGAATTAGGGAGAGCTGGATTTACAGAGCACTCATTCCACACATGAAGGAGAGCCTGGGCTGTGGTGTGCTATACAAAAGCAATAGGAGCTTACATGGTATGGAACTAGTGTAGAAGTCATTGAGAAAACAACACAGATAATACAAAAACAAATTCGGTACTTTAAAATGTCACATGAGATAGGAGAAAGGCGAGAATTACTTTTTAAAGTAGTACTGGAATCACTCGACAGCATTTGGGAAATGCTGTATTACCTACCAGATGAACCAAAAAGTACCATGAAGTTCCTGTCCTAGAAGGTACCCAGCACAACATTAGCTAAAAGAAATTCCAGGTGGCTTTAAAAATAATTTAGGACAATTAAAAAACTCAAAGGTAAACTGACCCTACCAAACAACAGACTCAAAACAGTCTCTATCTGCTTTTTTCATATAAGAAATCAACAGGACTGTACATAACAGTATTTTGATCAATTATGGTACATAGTTCAACATTTCAACTTCCATCTTTATTAAACGTTAACTTTACTAAAACTGTTGTCAGCTGGAGAGATGGCTCAGTAGTTAAGAGCACTGGCTGCTCTTCCAGAGGTCCTGAGTTCAATTCCCAGTAACCACATGGTAGCTCACAACCATCCGTAATGAGATCTGGTGCCCTCTTCTGGCCTGCAGGTATACATGCAGGCAGAACACTGACACAATAAAACTCTTGTCAAGAAAGCCTTTGTTACAGAGTCACCCATATCAGAATACTCATCTTAGGGACCGTGACGGATGGTTAACCTGTGTAAGGAGAGTCAGTTAGGAAAGCCCACTGTCCTGGGACCACACTGCAGCATCAGAGCAAATGACACCATTGTAATAGCGCAGTTATTCAAAAGACACTGGAAAAAGGCCCTGTGGAATAAGTTATAGCTTACAATATTTTATAGCACCTCTGCCTGCTAAGGTTTGGATATGAGGTGTCTTTCACAAAGGTGCAGGTGGTGGTATTGCTGAGAGGTGACTGGATCATGAAGACACTAACTTCCTCAAAGGATTAATCCATTCATGAGTTCACAGATGGATGGGTTACACAAGGTCTGGCTGGAGGAAGGAGGTCTCTCACTCTGTCTGCTTCCTGGTTGCTAGGCATTGTATCAGCCTACATTCCCCGCCATAATGTTCTGCTTCAACATAAGCCCACAGAGACAGGTCAGATGACCATGAACCACTACCTCTGCGACAGTAAACAGTCTCTTTCCTCCTCTAGGTTATCATCTCTGGTACTTTGTTGGAGTGATGTACACAGATACAAGAGGACTAACACAGCCACAGCACACTGTGAACTCAGCAAGGAGGAAGAGAAAGAGCATTGGAGAGTAGTAGAAAGCAATTAACAGGCACAGCTGGGCTGAAGGTGTGGCTCAGCGGTGACGGACTTACTGCCTACCACGGGGGAGGTCCTGGGCTCACCCCCTACTGCCCAGAGCCATTTAGATCAGGCTCGGGTCTGAACTTCCCCACTTTGGAAATTCCACAGAAAAATCAAGTAAACCCTTTGAAGGGTTTTCTGTCTACACAAGGGCTGGTAACTCAGGAAATCTCAGCAGATACCCATGCCACACGGTTACCAGTGAAGTTTTCATTTTTGGAGACAGGATCTAACTACATTGCCCACACTAGTCTCGAATTTAGGTGGTCAAGTGAACCTCTGGCCTCAGCTTTTAAATATTTTTAGGATTAGTTTTAGTTCCTAGTCAACTCTTAATAAATGAAATTTACCATTATCCCTCAAAGCAAAAACTATTAACAAGAGTAAAATATTTATACTTACCCATAATTACAAATTATACTGGTTAGGTTTGTTTTTTAGTCACAAACTTGAGTAACCTAGAAAGATGGAACCTCAAGGAAGGAATACCTCCATAATACTGGGCTGTGGACATGTCTGTGGGGCATTTTCTTGGTTGCTGGTTCATGTGGAAAAACACAACCCACTGTAGGTAATACCATCCCTGGGCAGGTGGGCCTGGATTATAAAAAAAAGGTAGCTAAGCAAGCCAGAGAAAGCAAGCCAGTAAGCGTGCTCCTCAGGGTCCCTGCTTTAGTTCCTACCTGGGCTTCCCTGAATGATGGACTGAAAACTACCCGCTGACATAAATCCTTTCCTCCCCGAGCTGCTTTGGGTCAGTGTTTTATTGAAGCACAGGAAAAGCAAACTAGGTTCATATTTATTACACATGGACAACCATAGTTTACTTAACATTTATTTATGAAATTTCTTAATATTGAGACATATGAGAATGAACGTCACAAATTGAAATGCTATAATCCTTGGCCATAAAGAAAATGTTATGGAGTTGAAATATGTAACTTCTATGCTCTAGTAAAACACATAGGCCTGTGCATTCAATAGCATGTGCCTATTTCCCAGTGCCAAACCAACTGTTTACAATTAACTTGTACTCAAATAGTACTCATAAAATCATGGTTTTAAAACATCACCTTTTTCCTTTCAGGAGGTATGAGGCTTTCAGATAAAAAAGGGCATGTAGCTGAAGAGTTTCGAAAATCTAGGGCTCGCTGTAGTTGCTCCTAGAAAAAGAAATGTAAAATTATTTGATGACAAAAGTCCAGAATCCTAGTTACCTTTATATTCTAGCAGCTTCGGCAACCTCTTTGTACTAAAAAGAGTATTTGGGGGATGTTACTTACTCGGTAGGTACTAATGACAAAGTGTGTCCGTTGACGAATTCTCTCTGGTTGCTCTAAAGGATGTGTTGAAAGAGGAGGTGCCTTTTCAAATAGAAATTCTGAGCCACAAGGAGAGAGCTGCAGTCTGGAACCATCGGCATATTGTACTTGGACCGAGTCATCTTCATAAAGTACCATTTGGACTTCAGCAGCCATTTCTACGCCTGGGTACGCCACACTTCAGACAGACTACAGGAGATGGGGACACGGTAGCACAGGCATTTCTCAATGCTCAAGAGTTTCACAAGCTAAACACACGCACTTCCTAAGAACGTAAGGGCAGCACACTGCCACTGAGTACACTCTCGGTGGAAGAGCGGTGGTCTCACCTCGGTTATCTAAAATGAACTTCCTTCACAAAATGCTTTGAGAAACCTCTACGACTTCACTCCACTGCTAAAAACATAACCTGGAAGGAGAAGACAGTCCACAGAGTCACAAATGTCCTAAGTTTTGTGGTTTTACTGTTCAAGTTTAACTTTTGTATGTTATATGCCCAGGATCTCATTTCAGACAAACCAATTCTACTTGGTAAGAAAAATGTAGCAATTTGGGCAGGCATGATGGTTCAGCATGTGAAGTGCTTGCCATGCAGGCCTGATGAACTGAGCTGGAACTCACTGTGGAGAATGAGAACAAAGTTGTAGCAAGCATGTGCATGCGCATGCCTGCACTCACACATCATAATACATACAAACAACAACAACAATAAATACAAATAAAATAACACAGAAAATCTGTTTTAACACATGCAAAAGACAGGCCAAAAGTAACTAACTATTCAGCCTAAGGCAAAAGACCACGGAAGAAATACAAAAGCCACAACTTACTGTTCCCCAGTCTGGCATTAAGGAAGCAGTTATTTAGTGACTTCAACTCATCCTCACTTCTTGAAGTCTATTTCTTACCTCCAAGATGACTCTGCTCTCACTATGTTTTCCATAGCTGTGTGGTGAAGAGGGGAGGTGGGCTTCACTGATACTCCACCATGTGCTAGGCAGACACCAAGGGATGTTCGTTCATTTGCGAAACAAGAGGGTTACAGGACTGCCGTGGGCAAAAGTGACAAAACCCCAAAAGATGACTGCCGAGCACTATGAAAGCCACCCTGTAAGGTCTCAATAAATCTGATGAAATGTTAATTCTTTTCTAACACAAAACCCATCCCCTTCTGCATTATCGTCTCCTTCTAGTCAAGTGATCAAGTCTCATCTGTCAAAAACAAGAGACTATTCAGAGGTAATACTTCTCAAGTTTATGGACATTTCCTACCAATAAGTCTCTAAAGTACAGTAAACCCCCCACTGCCAATATTCTCTTGCTAATCTTCACTCTATTAGTCCAACTTCCTCCTCTACCTTTCCACTGGCATTGTTTCATCATGGGCACCGATGTCTACATGCACCCAATGTCTTTAGTCGTCCGTCTACTGGACCTAGTCAGTCTGTGTCACAGTTGTACATTGTCCCCTCTTCCACGATTCCCTCTGTCCTACCTCCAACCCCACTTTGGGCTACTAAGGGTTGCTTCTCTACTTCTGTTTTGACTTTAATCATTCTTATTTGTTACCTAAATCAGAGATTCTTCAAGACCTTACCTTAATAACACTTGTTACTTTTTAGTCTCATCTTTTGCTTTCGTGTTTTAAATATGCAATAAGCTTTGCACAATATAGGCTAACATCTTATGTGGAGCAGGTTTGGATGTAAGTAAGGGTTTAAGTATGTGCTAACTCTTAATAAGATTCACAGTTTTGATTCTTTTCTTTCTCTGAAGAACTTGTAAGTCCACCCCACTCCTTTCAGAGAGTTCAGCTAGTTAACAGCATAGACTTCTATGTCTTTGTTCCACAGATAAATGGACTCTGATTCAACTAGAGCAAAGGCACTCCCACCAAAAGCAGCCTTCGGTAACACCCCCTAAATTCATTCTTTAGCTGAACAAGAGCTATATTCTTACACTAGAGCCTGCAGGGGCCACACAATCTAGCCCACCATTGTCTCCAAATGTCACCTCCTAACTCCCTTGTTCAGATCACTTTAATAATATTGGCTTTTTAAAAATAATCTTGAAAGAAGGTATTTTTCCATCTCAAAATCTTCATGCTGTTCTGTCTAGCTTGTCTTCTCCTTGGCTTATCATGTGACAAATTCTTTGTCAGCATTAACGTCTCAATACAAACACCACTTGCACAAAGGCCCCACGTTGTCCACTAAGCTAAAGCGCTCCACACATTCCCATCCTAGCGTACCTTTTGTCCTCATAGGCTTTATCAATATCAAAATTATTTGCCTTTGTTTTCTTCCACCAGGATAGAAACTCAAACAGAATGGACCTCACCTGTCCTATTCACAAATGTATCACTGGGACCTAAAATAGTATTAGGGCAAAGAATGATGTCATAGGCAAATATACTTTCATCAGATAATAAAAGAATGAATGTTTAAATTCTTCTTACCCTTGAGTTTGCAATAAGAGCTAACGACACCTCTGACTCCTCACTGCTTTTCTCCTGTAACTAGTTTTCTATTCTTTTTTTAAAAGCTTGCTTGTATTGAGCCCTTTACCTCCTTTTGTTGGAAGCTCATCTCTCAATTCCTACAACTAAGATCTTTCTCCTGTTTCTTCTCTCTCCTATTCCTGTCACAGTTAACTTCTCACAAGTCAGACTGCACTGACTGCTTTACATCATTTGTTTACATACTTGCTAAATGTCAATAAACACATACCATGACAAAGGATGGAGATATTATATATGTGCATACACGCACACCTGCATATACTCTATCTGGTATTTTAAGAGAAAACAGGTGCTGACACATAGTTGTAAGAGTCTATTTTCTGACACCAGACTGGGAATGGAATCACTATCTTTGCACCTCCCATATAGCAACTTTACTGAAGTTATTATTTAAATAACAAGCATACACAAAAGAGTGTAGTGTTTAAAGGATCTTGGCGCTGCCACAGGACACAATAATCTGGTTCCAATCCATCTTTTTGGCCTCCTCTGCATTGTGTTATTCCTGTTAGCATTCTCACCGTTCAACACATTATGTACGGTATAACGAACTGTAAAACCTCGTCTGTTCTGCATGTTGAAACCTCGCTTTTCAAAATATAGTGTCTAGTTACCCCGGGAAAGAGACCGGGACCGGTACACGCCCTCATCAAGTCCACCGACAAACCCCTGACGCTCACCCGGCAGTTCTGGGCTGCAAAGTTGTTTTCCACATCGAGAGAGCAATCAAGGCCTCTGACTGACCTCTGTTTTGCCCAAATGGCAGGGACTGTACCGTTTGCGACTGCTTCTCCGGGGTTACTTCAGCAAATATTAACTACCGAGCGGTATTTCTTGATGAAAGAAAATAATCTCATCTGCGGAAGAACATGGACACAAGAAGTGTTTGGATTGAGACGCCGGTTCAAGTCCAGGCGGCTGGGGCAGCAGCGGCGAACCGGAGGACCCAAAGGAAAAAACAAAACAAAACTACGAAAGTAGCCGTTTGAACTTCCCGCATCGAAAAGAAAGCGCTGTCAGGGGGAAAAGTGAGGCCGGAAGTCCCGCCTCTTTCACTGCACAGGGCGGGACCGGAAGAGGACGGGTTTTTCCGGGTCGGACTCTGGTCCCCACCTATTGGGTGTTCAGTGCCCCTGCGGAAGCGTTCAGGTTGGTTTGGAATTAGGTGTGTGGACCACCCTTCTACCCTACCAGGCAAACGCTAACGCAAGGACGAGTTTTAACGGAGTGATTGCATTCTTCAAAGTAATCGAAGGAGAGACTACTTGTTTTAAGATGTGCCAGACACTGTCTTCTGATTCTTATTTTATTGCCTTTAGGCGTGTACAGACTGCCTACTAAGTCATCAATGTATGCGGCGGATTAGCCCAATTCTTTGGGAGTCAGGATGGGGATTGGAGAGTGACTGGGAAGAAAAAAACAATCATTTGATTAGTTGTGGGTGTTCCTAAGATTAAAAAAAAAACAAAAACACAGCAACCTACGAGAGCATATAGTAGACCGAGAAAATATTTCCACTGAAATCTGAAGGGTTTTTTGTTTGTTTTTTGAGCAGGATTTCTCTCGGCAGCCCTGGCTATCTTGGAACTTGCTCTGTAGACCAGGCTGGCCTCTGCTGGGATTAATGGCGTGCCCCACTACCACCTGGCTTCCGCCCTCTACTCCCCCCTCCATCTCCTAGCCCGATAATTACCTCTTCTTATTGCCAACAGAAATAGTCTGGCCTTTAGATTATAGACGAAGCGTCCACAACAATCCAGACACCTCATGGACTGCCTTACTGCCTCCAGTATGACCATGACCTTAGAGCAAAAATGGGCAAATCTCTCCATAGGGACGTAATCCATATGACCATAGCTCGAAATCTGGAGTTTTAAAGAAGTGCTTGCTAAGTACAAGCAAAGGTCACGGCTCTGTGTTAAAAGACTCGGAGCAGTCCAAGGGAAAGATGATTTCCTTTAAAGGGGCTGGAGCATGACTAGGGAAGAAGGAGGTCAGAAGCACTGGGGCCAGATCACTATGGATGGAGTCAGACTTGAGGGAATTTTCTGATTCTAAAGTATTAAGAATATATCTAGGCAACTATTTTCTGAACGTTTTAGTAGGTATACTTGTTTAGTTCAAGAGCTTTAAGCAAAGATAGCATCAAGGGATTGGGAAAAACTTCAATTAACCATCATTTGAAAAAAAATACTGATATGCAAATTGATCCCAATTTTATGTAAAGACATTCTTGGGCAGATGTTTTATTTCTTAATGACCTGTGACGATAAGTTTTATATATTGCACAGGGTTTTCCACCCCTGCCTTTTCCCCCTCCAATGTTTGAGACCTGAATGGAACTTCTACTAGAGATTTCATGACTTTTTGAAAGATTCCTGGAATTGCTGATGGAGAATGGATTGTGGACAGCAAGGATAGATGTGAAGAGTTCAGTAGAAGGCTTCTGAACAAATGAGAGAAAATAACCCCTAGAATGTCGTTCCATAGCACTAAGGAGATAGCAGCTCCAGCAATTATTTAGATTAATTATATTCTTTGGAATTACTAGACCTGGGACTTAAGAAAAAGTAAGACTTCAAGACTGCCCAAGTTTCTGGTTTGGGCAAGTGGGAAAGTTGCAGAAATTATAAAGAATTTAGGAAAAGTTTGAGCTAGACTTAAATTTTCTAAGTTCACTTGATGAAAGCTGTAAATAAGATTTGGCTGGAATCAGGAGATACACACCTGGAGATCAATGGCTGTTACATGCTAATTGAAGATTTAAAAGAATGAAACAATGAATGTGACATTAGAAAATTAAGAGATGGCTCAGTAGTTAAAAGCACTGGCTGCTCTTCTAGAGGACCAGAGTTCAACTCCCAGCACTCACATAGTGGCTCACAACCTTCTGTAACTCCACTTCCAGGGAATCAAGACCCTATTCTGGCCTCCCTGGGTACCAGGCATACACTAGTCCAGACAAAACACCCACACATACAAAATAATTTTTAAAAATCAAAGGAAACACATAAAGAAGCCCACAAAAGCATTGTAAAAGAGCACAAAGAGGGACAGCAAATTATTGTCTTAGGTGCTTAGTATTTTTAATTTTGTTGTCAGTACTGCCAGAGAAAAAGTGGAAACAAAAATCTATTAGGTTTCGTGAGCCAGGGTCCAGGGCCACTGGTGATTTCAGTGAGAATCGTTGCATATAGTAGGAAAGAAAACATAATGGATCTGAAGAAGAAATAGGAGGCAAGAAAATGGATAAATATGGGCCACTTGAGACTGACAATAGGACTCTGGTACAAGAAAAATTAGAGCGCCAGATTTTATTTTTTATTTGATAAGAATGGCATGGAGAACAGCTCATGAAAAAAAAAAAGCCAGATTTAAAGAAAACAACCAAAAATAAGAAACCCTACCAATTATTAAATAACAGAATTCATGAAAGAGGCAGGAACATCTAGAAGGATGCTTCCTGTAGAGGAAAAGTGGATACAGATATATTTGTGTACATTTGACTTAATGTTTTTCCTGTAAAGCAGCTAATTAGGAAATGAAAGGTTAGAGGAGGAATGAAGCAAATAAAACACGGACTGAGGAAACAAAACAATCACTAGCGGTACAGTCTAAGTGACAGTGGCAATTCTGAATTCACGACGGCACACCATCTACCAGAACCACGTCTTCTGGCTGCATGACTTCTGAATGCCATGTTGCACTTACAGGGTTCATTTTTGCTAGACCAACACAACAGGACAGCAGCATACATGAGCTTAAGTTATTTCCATCTGCCCAAGTCTAGTCAGACAACCAGGCTCAAGCCTGTTTGTTGGCAAAATTGGAAGGGTATGTTCCACAATGGGATGGAGTGCCATCTTTACTAAAATTTGAGTTCCTGATGAAAGATTCTGAGGAAGTCCTAAGGGAAGGGAGACCAGTTTTGGGGAAGGGGCTGTTTGTGCAGCAATATAAGCAGCAGAATTTGAGCAGTTTAGGAACTGGGTCTCTAGCCACAGACTAGCAGCAGCAGAGTGCTGGGAACAGCAACAGTTCCACCCACGAGGTGTCACAATGTGCTGCTCTAAGACTGTGTTCACTTGGCAGCTGGCCTGTGTGAGCCCACCCTCAGGACCTGATAGGAAAGGGGCTTTTTTCCTTTTTGTTTCAGCTGACTTTCAGCCATAACAGGTTTTCCGTAATTCTACCAAACACCCTCCTCTCATTAAATATGGCCAAACCCCTTTTTTAATAAGGAAAAACAATCTACACTCATCTGTCCTTCCTGCAGGTAAGATTTAGTGGAATACCTACAGAATTACCCACCAAAGACGTCTGATTTTAAATTCTAGTGACCTCTTGTAGATAAGCTCTATGGTTCCCCCAAAGTACACGTTCTCCATCACTATGACAAACCCAGTCTACTGAGATAGAGTGTATTCTTGCCTTCTAGCTAAGACAGACAGAGTTGATAACCTGACTGCCTGGTCGTCAAGACTGACATTGACTGGCACCAGTGCCTGTGCTCACTGGAAAGAACTGTATTTCTATTTCTACAAGACATTCATCTCTCTTCTTGGTGAAGACATGCATTCTACAAGACAATGTGACACACGACCAACTCATCATATAGTTACAAATTTAGAACCAAGAAAATAAATCCTGCTGGCATGGCTTCTTAATGCAGTTCTCCCTGTTTTGGGATGCCCATCTCAGAATCTAGCCAAAATGCTGTGAGAGGTCCAAGAAAAATGAAGAAGCCATCTGTAAAATGTCAATGTTCTTTCTGGTCAACAACTCGGGTCTAGACCTAGCTTAAGTCCTCAGAGCCCCAAGATGGCTCCAATGATCACAGCCCCCAGCTGCTCAAGCTATCACCAGTCCATTGTTTTCACTACTAAGGTGGTTTTTACTCCTACTGCTAGGATTGGCCTTAGGCCTTCTGCAAGCTAAGCAGATGAACCAATACCAGACCCTGGGTAGTTTTTTAAGTACCATCTACAATGCATGTAGATTCTGTTGATCGTTACACTGAGTTGTTAACTGGTGACAGTGAGGCTAGTGGTCAAATACTGGATGTTTACACAGTGACCAGTAGATGTCTAAAGTATGTGCAGCCCAGTTATCTCTCGGTATCTGTCCTAATGTGCTGTAACTATCATGTTCCAAGACTGCATACTGTCCTGGTGTGACAAATTCCAAAAATCCAACTCTAGAAATTAATGTATTTGTTAATTTTCCAGGTTCATTTGTTATTGAATTCACTTATTCTATTGCTACTGAATATCTACAATCTTTTAGCGATTTCTCTAACTTTTAAATCTTTATTTCATGTAAGCAAGCTTAACAAATTCTTTAAAATACCATTTCAAAAACTTAGAACAAAACTAGGTTTTATTTTCAAATTCTAATTTTAATCCGACTGAACACACAAGCAGAAGTGAGGAAACTGTGTAAGCAGACACAGATGTACCAAATGTGAAACAATGAGTTATTAACACAACTATTTACATGCATATTTACAAGCAACCCTTGATACTCAGTTTTAGTTAGTTGGAAAAAGATTTGACATTAGGTAAAAACATGACTTCAACAGGGCTGAGGTGGTACATTATAGTAAAAGTATTAGAAAAGTGATCTTCACAGTATATAAATTATAAAGCAGATGAAAACCTGAATGACAAATACCTAGTAAAATTCTCTAGTAAAAAGTCAATGCAACCCATGCTCTGAAATAAAAATGAGAAAACCATATAAAGAGAGCAGAGCAATGCTGTAGGATGGAGGTGATGAAGTCAGTCATGTGAAACACACAGAGCAAATGACTGGAAGAAATCCTCAATCAAGTCTTGGCTCCTTAGCTGGTGTTCTAAACCCCACCCACCCCTCAATGACAGTTTAAAAGCCCTTGATATCAAATAGCATCTACATATGTAAGTAAGTTGTTTATATTCTCCAAGACTTTGGTGCTAAAGATTTTCATGATTGTGATTAGTATTTGAAACTCAATGTATAGAGAAACAAATGTTAAACTAAAATAAAAGCTGTAATAATCATATCTAAAAAAGGATGCTACATTTTTGCAGTAATATGTATTTCCAGGCTAAGACTTTTTACCTCAAGAAGTTGTTGAACGATAAGCATCTAATCAGCTAGCAAAATTTTCTTTCAACGTTTCATTTATTTCAAAATCGATTTTATTGCAGCCAAAACAGTAGAATTAACTGTACATAATAAAACTATTATATATATATACACATTTTAAGTTACAGGGAATAAAGTTTATTTTGGCAGGTAGTGTTAAACAAAATTAAAGTTGCATACATTAGTAACATAACTCAACATCCTTAATTTGGTATAAGTCTGACAGTTTCTTGCTTTCCTGTGTTCTGCTAAATCACCATACCTAAACTTTAAAAAAAACCTGACAGCCTCAAATTTAACTTTACTGTTTTCGCTTACGCTCTGATTCCAAACAAAACTTTTCATAAGCTTCTTCAATCTCTGGGTCCATTTCATCATCAATATCATCCAAGTATCTGCAAAGGAAGCCAAAAATGATTCATATAACTTTACTGTTTTTCAAATGTGAAAATGTCTGGAGATGTTAAGCTGCACTTTCCTAGACTGAATTCTGTTATAGTTTTAGATATGTGCACTTAAAAGTTAATAAAAGGCTTGACATGTAAGTTTATACCTTATTAATAAACTTTAATTAGAACATGAAATGATTTCAGAAATGACATTTGCCTATGATTTTTTTTTATTCCACCCGAAAAGTTTTATCCTTCCAGTGGTAATGTCTAATTAACATTGAAAGTTATTTCTGCAAGGCTCTTCTCACAATGACAGGTCACTTTGCCATATATCTGAAACCAGACTGTAGCAGGAAGCTACTTTTGAGATTATATAAGCCAGATGGCCCTGTTCCCCGAGTTCCAGCAGTTTCACGCAGCATGGCGGTGCACTCCTGTAATCACAACACTCAGAGGTGTTCACTGGAAGGCAGAGGACAACTTTGTGAAGTCAGTTTTCTACATCCACCTTTACATGGGGATTCCAGGAATCAAATGCAAGTCATCAGGCTTGTGAAGAAGTACTTCCGCCAGCTGAGCCATCGTGCTGGCCCCTGAATGCCATTCTTTCCTAACTTTTATTCTAGTTTAGTTATACTCAAAACTTGGTCACAGAAGCTTCATAAAGAAAACAAGTAATAAGGGGTGAGGAGGATGGTTCAGAGTACAGCAGTTGCTATGGAGCATGGAGACCTGAGTTTAGCCCCCCAGTATGTATGTAAAAAGCTAGGTGTGGTGGCTAGTGACTGTAATCCCAGATCTGGGGAGGCAGGTACAGGCATATTCCTATAGGTCAGCCAACCTGAAATCAGTTACCTCCAGGTTTAGCGAGAGACCCTGACTCAAAATAATGTGGCCAGTGACTAAAGGGAACACCTGACACCAACCTCTGACTTCCACATGCATGCACGCATGCACACAAGAACTCCTTTGGCTTCCACATGCATGCACACACATACACAAGAACTCCTCTGGCTTCCATATGCATGCACACATGTACACAAGAACACAGACACAAAAAATATCAGTAATGAAAAAGAGAACTTACGGGTCACCAGCCCCTGATAAATCTGTTCCATTTTCTTCATAATCTGGAAAAAAGTCCTCTCTTTCAAGTAACTCCTGATACTTCTCTTGGTAATCTACAAGACAACACAGGAAAAAATGAGCAGATAATCTCATAAAATGAGTTTTTGTCCCTATAGCCTCTTAATGACTTTAAGACCAATGTTTAAATAGTAAAAGTTACATAACATGCTTTCATAAAATTTATATTATATTCGGCTTGCTCATTTCTTTGCATGCTCACAAACCTTAAAATATTTATACACACTATCGTTTTAAATGTAAATACATTCCACAGTTGGTTACTGAAGATTGAACCCCAGGTCTTCCATATACTGTGAGTAAATACTCTACAACTGAACTAATAACCCCCAAATCTCTTAACTTTTTGTTTGAGAAAGGGTTTCTGTAGCTCTGGCTGTCCTGGAACTCAGATACTCCAGCCTTTACCTCCCAATTGCTGGTGTTAAAGGCGTGTGCCACCACACCAGGCTCTTTTTACTTTTTATAGGTTTTGGTTACTAGTGTGTGTGTGTGTGTGTGTGTGTGTGTGTGTGTGTGTGTGTGTGTGTGTGTGTGTGTGGTGGTGTATGTGTGTTGAGTTTGAGATAGGATCTCTTTATGTGGCCCTGGCTGTTGTGGAATATCCTATGCCAACTAGGCCAGCCTCAAACTTAAGAGATTCTCCTGCCTCTATCTCCAAGCGCTGGGATCAAAGGTGTGTGCTACCATGCCTAGCTTAATTTTTATCTTGAACCATGATCTTACTACATTGCCCAGGCCTGTGTTGAAAGCCTCCTGACTCTACCTCCAGAGTAGCTAGGATTACAGGCCTGCACCACACCAAGCTAATCTTCATTCCTGTTTTGAAAGGTTATTATATGTCTGGGTTAGGGCCAAGCTTTTCCAAGACTGTCTATATAAAACTCTAATTCAATATCAGAGATTGGTGTCATTCCAATTTTGACAGGTTAGAGAAAATTTAATCATAAAATTTCCTGTTGTAAGTACTTGACCTAAGATATTCTTTTAAATGTATCTATGCAGGCCAACAGGGAACTCCAGATCATGCACATACACCACAGCTTGGAGGCTCAGAGGGTGCTGGTGTCAGTCGTCAAGGGGCGTGGCATTTAAAAACACACAAAACGTTCAAAGACAAAGCCCTGGGTCTGTGTAGAACAGGAAGATAGAACTCATGCTCTATATACCTATCTCTCATCCTTCATAAACATCTAAGGGCTGACATCTTAAAAGGATGGACCTGGAAAAGCAAATAAAACACCTCAGTGGCAAACAAAGGTTAATTATACTTTTGAGTATGGAATGAGGTCAGGCACTCTGGAGAAACGGTTTATCCAGAGTTTGTAACAGATTTGACCTTGAATTTCTACTCTCCACATTTAAAAAGAAAAAAGGCAGCTCCACGAAGAAAAACAAAACAAAAAGAACAAAAACCATCCAATCGTTTCCAAGTTAGTGATATGCCTGTGTCTCCTGGCAAAAGCAAATCTAAAACTATTTTGGGTAGAGGTTCCTGCAACCCAAGGGACAAGAGGTTTTTAATCAAGAAAAACAAAGGGTAAAATCACTACTGCATTCATTCTGAAGCAGGTAATAATTCAAATGGTTTAAGGAAACAAAATATGTGGAGACAGCAAAAAAGTTGAGTAAATTGTTATCAAAGGAGTATCTGGGAAAAGGCCAAATGGATAGTCTTGGTGCAATTTTTGCTTTTCTGTAATTCTGAAGTAATTTCTGAATAAAGGTTTAAGAAAGACAAAAATGAGCTTGCAATAATATTTTGACACCGAAGTAATTTTCTTTTTTTTTTTTTTTTTTTTTTTTTTTGGTTTTTTAAGACGGGGGTTTCTCTGTGTAGTTTTGGTGCCTGTCCTGGATCTCACTCTGTAGACCAGGCTGGCCTCGAACTCAGAGATCTGCCTGCCTCTGCCTCCCAAGTGCTGGGATTAAAGGTGTATGCCACTGCTACTTTTTTTTTAAGATTAAGATCTGTCTTACCAAAAATAGCATGATTTACATAGGAATATTTAAGAATGGGTTGTTGGTATATAAAGACAAATATTTGAACAAAGAATCCACATGAATGAATAGTATTCAGCATACCACAGACAGCTTATTATAACTAAGATAGGAAGAATAATATTTGCTGAGACAATACAGTGAAAAATATTTAATATCTATTATATTTCTATGTAAAAATTAGGGAGGTAAATTAAGGCTTAAATAGGAAAAACAGCAAAGTATGACTTTTAGAAAAAAAAATGTAATTAAGTAAAAATCAGCACAAACAAGACTGATAAATTAAAACTCAAAGCATGTATATGAAAATACATTATAGGGCTGGAGAGATGGCTCAGAGGTTGAGAGCACTGGCTGCTCTCCCAGAGGACCCAGGTTCAATTCCCAGCACCCACATGGTAGCTCACAACTGTCTGTAACTCCAGTTTCCAGGGGATCTGACACCTTCACACCAATGCACATAAAATGAAGTTAAATAAATTTAAAAAAAAAAGAAAATACATTATAAACAAAATGGAAATACAGTCACATAGCACAAAAGGATAAAACCCTTAACTGACCAAGATCATC